GTATTAGCGTTTTATATAATAAGATAGAAGATATACCATACAATTATTGCAGAATTACGTAAAAACATTTTATTAATATGTTAATCATAACGGAATAGACAATTACCTATATTTGAAAAATAATCCCCTGCACTTAAAATTAACCTCAGAAATATATATTGTGAGACTCAATAATAAGAAATAAATAAGAACCAATTTTGAGAAGTAACATGTAGTCCATGTATTTATATCCGGCAACATGTAGTCTCGCCTACACGTGAATTATTTCTATGTTAAAACTACAGATAGGTATAAAGATAACACAAGTATAATATCTAAATGTTACTGACTTTTATTAACGTTCCATCCCCCTGGGCTCCAGCCATAGAACGAATTTGTTTTCCCGTTGGCACATCGTATATTCGAATTTTACTGTCTTGGCACGCAGCGAGAACATGTGGCTGGGAGGCATCCTTTTCCATGTCATAAAAAGTTGTATTTTCTGTTATGATTTGATCTTGTATCACTTTAATATTGGGATTCTAAAAATAAAATAAGAAATATCTTCATCGCTGAAAAAGAGTTATTATACAGGGTGTCGAAAAAGTAGTCAAACATTTTAAGAAAACCACATCAGAATAAAAATCGTATTATATTTAATATATATAATCAATCATCTGTATTTATAATCTTATTGAATTTCGTGCCTTTGTTCTCCAGGATAAATTTTAAGAAATGAAGTAATTAAACTAATAGCCTTTATTCTTTTTAAAAGGTTAAGAATTTTAGTTTTAAATATATTGGCTGATAAAGATTACTTAACCATTTAAAAAAAAATCTACCGCGAGAATCGTTAATGTTTAAAGCTGTAGACGATGATAAATTTCTCTAAATTTGATAAGTATGTAGTAGAACAGCGGTACCCTATATTGTACGGCTAAGTAGCCCTAAATAATCCAACTTCTTTCGGTGAGCCGCGATGGCTCAGGGGATAGAGCGGGTTCGCACAACGCCTCCTGCAACTAAAGGCCTCCACACGGTTTTTTGTAGGCAGCCCGCTCAGACCATTGTGAAGGTAAACTAAAGAGTGAAAGAACCATTTAATATGAAATCTATTGAAAATTAGAAAGTGGTAGCAAATATATGTCTAAAATTTTTTTTAATTTATGAATTTAATTGGTTTATTTTATTTACTTGTGACTTGTCAACCACTACAGATTCAATTCTCAAATATATATGGTAAATTTCTCTCAAGTACTTTTAAAGTGGAATTTGGGTTCATGCTCACAAGTGGTTCGATTTTTAAATAATCTGCGCAGACTACTTAGAGGAAACCGTGTGGAGGCTTTCTGGTGTAGGAGGTGATAGCTCGAATCTCAGTCGATACGAATTCCGTATCTGGCTAGCACCGACCGCAGTGCTGACATGAAATATCCTCAGTGGTAGGCGGATCATGAGTTAGAGTCCCCTCGCCGTCAGGCTAAACATGGGAGGTTCTCGTGGTCTTCATCTCCGTGTAACGCAAATGCGGGTTAGTTCCATCAGAAAGTCCACCAATAGGCAAAATTTCTCCCGATACTCGTTATAGGAGTTCCCTTGTCTTCTGGATTGGGTTCAAAATTACAAGACTACGGAGTTGAACATTAGTAGTTGTAAATCCATAAAATTGGGTCGACTGTCCAACGACGGTTATAAAATAAAACAAAACTTCTTTCGGTAGAACACCAATTATATACATTAAACACATAAAGAAAATTATGAATGTTTCAACTAATAAAAGTACTTAATTTTGAAAATATATGGTTTTCCTTGTGTTTTCAAACTACTAAACAATAAAAAAGTTTTTTTTTTTTTTTTTTTTTTTTTTNAAAAAAAAAAAAATTTTTTTTTTTTTTTTTTTTTTTTTTTGAAAACCTATCTCTCTATTAGTGAATTTAGTAATCTTATTCTGATTCGAAAAACGTGATGCGAAACTCCAATGTAATTTTTTATAAATGCATATCCGCTTCCAAACTTTTTCAATACATAGTAATTAGAAGTTTTATGTATGTATTTTTCTTAAAAAAAACATTGCCATTTTTTTATTGGCATTTCACTTTAAATAGTTTTGAGAAAGCAACCGAAATATTAATTAAATCATGGATTATTGATTAGATATAAATATAATTATAATTAAATAAATATTTTAAAAACAAAGTTTAAAAAAGTCCTTACTCTAGGAAACATTTTGATTCTTTCGTGGAACCCTAGGGTTTCACAGAACACTATAGAGTGTTTCAAAAATTAAATTAAAACAAAAACTTTAATATTTTATCATAAAATGTGTTAAGGCAATCTTACCCATAACATTTTCCGAATAATCACTGATTTATCAGCTCCGCAAGAGACAAAAAATAGTTCCTTGCCGCAGCGGACGAATTTGGCAGCTGTCACTGATGATGTGTGGTCATCCAATGTTTGTGCAAAAGAATAATTTTTTTGGGCATCAAAGATGTGAACTAACCTATCACGACTTGCGGAAGACAAGAGTTGTCCTGGGTCTATGATGAAAAATAAAATGATAATAACTATGAAATATAAATGATAATAGCAATAATGAAAAATTAAATAAAAGAAAATATGATCGTATAAGTTGAATAATGTATTTTCCTCATTCTTGCTGATGCATAGACATATTTTTGCAGTTATGAGAAAAAATAACTATCCAACATTTTTTTTTCATTTTACACTTCATTCACTACACTTTATCTTTAGTGTTATTTATCCTACATTTTACGTACGCAGGGATGAAGTTGAATAATGTATTTTCCTCAGTCTTGCTGCAGCGTAGACATAATTTTGCAATAATGTAAAAAAATAACTATTCAACATTTTATTCATTTTACACTTTATCCACTACACCTTATCTTTAGCGTTAACTATCCTACACTTTTCGTAGGCAAGCTTGATAGTGTAAATTGAACAATATATTTTCCTCATGATTGCTGATGCATTTTTGTAATGATGTGAAAAAATAACTATCCTACACTTTATTCGCTATACGNCTGTCATGGTTGTCAACTTAAGTTTTCTCAAATACAACGTATTTGTTTGCTTAAAATTGAAGTTTAAATTCCATTTTAATACCACTGGGAAAAATAATAATGGAAGGGTTTAAAAGTTGGCAGGTATGTAATTTGGAATGGGGAGAAAAACTAACTATCCCAACATTTTTATTCATTTTGCACTTTATCCACTACCCTTTATCTTCAGTGTTATTTATCCTACACTTTACGTAAGCAAAGATGAAGTTGAATAATGTATTTTCCCCATTCTAGCTGATGCGCAGGCATCAATTTGCAGTAATGTAAAAAAATAACTATCCAGCATTTTATTCATTTTACACTTTATCCACTACACTTTAGTGTTAACCATCCTTCACTTTTCGTATTCAAACTTGATCGTATAAGTTGAATAATGCATTTTCCTCATTCTTACTGATGCGTAGGCATCATTTTGTAGTAATGTGAAAAAATAACTATCCTACACTTTACGCTTTATCCACAACACCTTTATCTTTAGTGTTAAAAATCCTACACTTTAGTTTTTAAAAAAAGTTAAATTACCAACTTCGTTATCAATTTAAATTTCTGTCAAAATGCTTAAAAAATAAATATCGCCAATATTAGTTATTTTTATGAATTCAAATTACTAATTTATACTTAATACTGATGTATATTTAAATTATTATTAACATATTATTTAACATAAACTGCTTTATAACTGTTATAATTTTAACATAAATATAAAAAATCTTCAAAAATCATTGATTTACGTGAAATGCGGGATCCTCAAAAAATTAATTATTCATTCAATTCGTTATAAAAAGTTGCAATTGAAGTTATTTTTCAATTTCGTTATATAAATTACAACTTTTTTTTGTTATCCTTCAGTGTTTAATTGAAAGGCTTGAGGCACTATGATGATAAGTCACACTTTAAAATTGTACAGGAGAGCGTTCTTTTGGTGAATAATGACCGTAATTCCTTTGTAAACCATAAAATAGTCCTCTATATTGTGCTGTTATGGAGATGAAACTCCTGAAACTATATTATCTACCTGGTAACCATTTTGAGGAACAATTTGACGTGAAAAAGTAGCTTTTAGAAATAAACAGCTAATATGTCCTTTAGAATTACCCAATATGCCCTTTAAAAGTGAATACGAAACAATATTACATTTTCTTATAAATATTATAGTGGTCACTTTAATTTTTATTGTCTTTAAAAATTTTGTAAGGCCGAAAATCAATTAATAACAATTTAAATACACGAAATAACATACAGTTTGAAAAATTGCTTTAAAATTAGAACAAAGCTTTAACTTCATTTAGAATTGTTTACAATAAGGCTGCCAACTTTCGACGCTTTCAGAAAAAAATTATTCTAGTGGTACCTATGTTTATGCTTTAGTGTACTATTTTTTATTAAATTTAAATTATTTTCCACATCACTACATATAAATTATTTAAAAGTTCATATGCAACGCCACTTCGTTCTAGCTCTTTTTTGGTGAGACTTTTATTATGTTGGCAAAAATTCTGACAGCTTTGGTTTTAAACGTCTACCACTCTACTAAATATTTAGCAAAAAACGGAGTAGTTAACAGGTCTGCTTACCATATTTGAAACGCTTTTGCAATAATTATAAAATTTTAACTACTTCAATAGTTTTGAAATATAGGTATGTTATAAATTTAAATATTTCAATTACTCAATGGTTGTGAAATTTGGGTATATAATAAATTTAAAAATTTCCTCTATTTCAATAATTTTAAATCTATTTCTTTTAATCATCGAATATATTAAAATTTTCACTTATTTTAGCATTTTTAAAACTACAATTTTTTTATAAATTTAAATGATTATTAATTTTAATGATTATTAATTTAATGTGATGATTATTAATTTAATGTAATGATTATTAATTTAAATGATTATTAATTTTAAAATTTAGAAAAATTTAACTATTTTAATTGTAAACAAAGTTCGATTGCTTCAAGCGCTGAAAAATTACTTAATAAGTTCAACAGTATTCTGTAATTTTAAAGCTTTAACTACTTCAATTGGTTTAACTAAACTTTAATATTTAGCTGTTGCAATAATTATTAAACTTTATTTTACTTTTTATCCATTTTTTCCTTTTATTTTCCCACATCATTAAGTTCGAATTTATATTATTAAAACTTTTTCTCTGAACCATTCAAACATATTTTATTTTTCAAATTTTAAATATTTATTTACCTGTTTTTGAATTTGAGTATTCCAAGCAAAGGACTTCAGCATCATGGGCTTCAATTTTACATAGAAGCTCTAAATACTTTAAGTCGTATACCCTATAATGAAAATATATAAATAAATGTATGATAAAAATTCCCTTAAGTTATTCAGTTATTTTGACATAAACAGAGAATAACCATAAATAATTTTTGGCATCGTTTTGCGAAAGAAATTTTTGTCCAAAACACTTCAGTTATAATAATACTTAAGTAATAATAAAGAGCCGTGATGCTCTGGAAATAGAGCGTTCGCCTTCCAATGTTAACCGGGATTGAATCCCAGCAATGGCAGATCGATACGAATTCCGGATCCGGATTTTACCGTCTACAGTGCTGACTTAAAATATCCTCAGTGGTAGACGGGTCATATGTTAGAGTCCCCTCAGTGTCAAGTTAACCGTGGGAGGTTTTCCTCTCCATGTAACATAAATGCGGGTTAGCTCCATCAAACAATCTTCCACGAAGGCAAATTTCTTCCAATACTTGATCCAGAGCTGCGATGGCTCAGGGGATTGAGCGTTCGCCTTCCAGTGAGGCGAACTGGGTTCAAACACCAACCGATACGAATTCTGCATCCGGCTTGCACCGACCACAGTGCTGACGTGAAATATCCTCAGTGGTAGACGGGTTATAGGTTAGAGTCCCCTCAGTGTCAAGTTAACCGTGGGAGGTTTTCCTCTCCATGTAACATAAATGCGGGTTAGCTCCATCAAACAATCTTCCACGAAGGCAAATTTCTTCCAATACTTGATCCAGAGCTGCGATGGCTCAGGGGATTGAGCGTTCGCCTTCCAATGAGGCGAACTGGGTTCAAATACCAATCGATTCGATTTCTGCATCCGGCTTGCACCGACCACAGTGCTGACGTGAAATATCCTCAGCGGTAGACGGATCATGGGTTAGAGTCCCCTTGCCGTCAGGCTAACCGTGGTAGGCTCTCGTGGTTTTCCCCTCCATGTAACGCAAATGCGGGTTAGCTATATCAAAAAGTCCTCCACGAAGGCAAATTTCTCCCAGTACTCGATCCAGAAGTTCCCTTGTCTTCTGGATTGGGATCAAAATTACAAGGCTACGGAGTTGAACATTTGTAGTCGTAAACCCATAAAAATAGGTCGGCTGTTCAATGACGGTTATAAAATAAAATAAAATAAAATACTTTATCCGGGAGTTCCCTTGTCTTCTGGATTAGGTTCAAAATTACAAGGCTACGGCGTTGAACATTAGTAGTCGTAAACCAAAAAAAAATCGGTTGGCTGTTCAACAGCGGTTATAANAAGCAAATGCCTTGTGATCAGCCTAATAATAATCATAACACCTTCTGTTTTTTTTTAAGCATTTGTTTAAGTTTATTGAGTAGTAATATTTCTGCACTATAGGAAAAGTTCATCAAGAAAAATTTCCATTTACTGATATTCTATACGAAGTATTCATAAAAATATTCAAAATATTTAAATTTTTAAATTCTTTTCAATATGGAAATGTTTTGCTGGATTAAAAACTAAATGTAGATAAAAATGGGTAATTATTTGCATAGAAATTCTTAAAAAGCGGATTCAATTCGTTGACTACAGTATTTATGTGAGAAATTAAGCAATAGAAATGAATTAAACAATAATGCAAATAGCTTGTTCTACTTTAATCCATTTGTTTTTCCTATGAGAGAAAACATAGAATTCACCGTTCTACATATCTTCACTGGCTTTAATTTTATTATTCTGGTTATAGTTTTATCAATTAAGTAGATAATTAGCATAAGTAGGAACGAATATCAAGAACTCTTGAACAACAGACCGTGTAATATTGGGTGATCGCTAAATTTCTTCAGCTGTTTGCTATGAAGTTTAGAAAGTCTATGTAATATGCACACTCTTCGACGTTACAAATTATATATAATTTTCTTCATATCGTTGTCGTATCGTACATTCATATAATTGTCGTTGAACAGCCGACTCGATTTTATGCGTTTACGACTATTAATGTTCAACTCCGTAGCCTTGCAATTTTGAGCCCAATCCAGAAGACAAGAGAACTCCTGAATCACTCTTTTAATTTCCAATTAAAATATTTTAGTAGAAATTTTTTTTAGCCGATTTTGTTCTTATAAAACCGCACTCAATAAATAATTTTTCACAAACAAAGTGTAATGATTTATAATTTTAGCCAAATTAATTATTTAAAACTCCCCTCTATCTCAGAAAGTAAAATAAATTTTTAAAAATTTAGTTTTTTTTTATTCCATAAAAAACAATATTATTAATCCTATAATAAAAAATATAAGCAAATAAAATAAATAAAACTGAATTAATTGAAATTCGGTATCGAATGTTGATTAAACCACTATCGATTAGCCGAAAATCAATTATGTACTGTAAATAACAAATTTTTAATATGCGGCATTAAAGTTTAAAATAAATAAATTTTTCAAAAAATGAATATTTTTGGTTTGGAATCCCACTGAAATCGATGATTTACTTCTTTAATGTAAAATTTCATGAACTCAAAGATCACATTCGGCAAAAGTTTCTAAATGCCCCTTATTTTTTGAAAATACTTAAGGCAAAATAAATAACATTTTGAGAAATCAATTCTATAAATGATTTCATTCAAGAATTGTTTCGAATTATAATTTTCTGTTGTAAGATAAAGTAATATATAGAAAATGAATTCTTACAGAAAATATGAAGGTGAAACATTTCAGTTCTTTAAAATTATTAGGCAATAATCCTAATGAAAAATCATAATATTTTCGTGCATTAGTATTTTCTTCACTTACCGTATGTTACCGGATCTATCACCTGAAGCTAAGTGTTGGCCATCAGGTCGAATTTTTAAACATCTAACTCCATTTTTACCGTCGTAAGAATTGGCGAGTTTTTCATTGGCGTTAGCTGAAATAAGATCACATATTGTATTGCGTAGATTGATGGCAAGAATAGAAATTAACAGATTGAATAAATTTAGAAAGTTTGCGATGTGTATAGTACTCACCTGGAAGAAGATCGATATCACATAAGAACACATAGTTAGGATCTGTGTACAAAATTTTCAACAATTCCTACAATGGAGAAATGACAATCAATCAGAAGTTACTTTTCAATAACAATTCAGACAACAAAAACTACAGGAACGTTAACATCTCTTCCATCATCTCCTACATCAGAAGCCTCCACACGGTTTCGTACAAGTAGTCTGCGCAAACTATTTAAAAAGTGAAACAGTTGTACGCATGAACCCAAATTCTTTTTTAAAAGTAATTGGGAGAAATTCATCATACAGAGATGCCAACTTGCTCCGGACAGCAAATATATATTTTAAAGTGGTAGTTTATCAATTGTGATTCTCGGTTTAATAAATTCATTTCAGTAGATTTTTCTCCACCACTATTTTTAAACAATTCGTAGGGTTATATAATTTACCACTGTATGATTCTTATGTAATGATAAACCTTTTGAAAAGCAAGCAAAAATAGTCAAATATTTGCAAAATTTACTTTGTAGTAGTTTACTTTTTTTTTTTTTAACTGTTTTGGCGTGTCCGGAGCAGTTGGCATCTCTGTATATATATTTGAGAATTGAATTTGTGGTAGTTGACAAGTAATTAAGACAAACCAATCATATTATCATATTCATAAATTAAACAAATTTTTAGACCTATATTAACTACCACTTTCTTATTTTTACTAGATTTTGTATTAAATAGCTCTTTTGTAAACTTCTTTGCATTCATAGTACTTTGATCGGATTACCTATAAAAAACCGTGTGGAGGCTTTCGGATATAGGAGGCCAGCTTGGATGAATGTTCCCTAATAACTCGCGAACGGGAGCACCAATTTGGATCGTTCCCCCCCCCCCCCNCCCCCCCCCAGCAGTTTGCTAATTTTCAAGGTATGGTTTGTAGACAATCACCTCTTTCGGCGTTATGTGGTTTGGGCACAATATCGAAAATAAACTGCTGTTTGTAGAAAATGCA